TCAGGACCTTGTGCATGCCAAGCATACGCTCTACCACTGAGCTATACCCTCACCCAACAATGATAACTTTTATTAAGCGTTTCCAACATGCCAGGCCCTGTGCTTAGCATGCCATGAGATGCTCGTCAAATGCTCCCAACAAGGCACAAAGTAGGCACTATTCTTAACCGCCCCTCTTCCCCTGCCAGCTGAAGGAAAGGGAAGCCAAGGTGAAGATGAATAATTTGCTTGAGCTCACAGAGCTAGTGAAGGGCTGAGCCAGGGCTCAAACTCAGACTTATCCTGTTCCCAAGCTATCAGGCCAACTCCCCATCACCACCTCCGCTTTCTCTGCCTCACTCAATCCAGCGCCCCCTGCCGTTCAGAGAAGTTTCCATTCTGGTTATGTGCTGCTCATTTATTGTCAGAGAGCTGCGGAGTGCCAGTTCCATCAGACACGCTTAAATACTCCTGGCAAACATGTTTTACACAAAGGCGCTAGTGATTTACCTACCCGACTCCCCGCCCTCCAGTTTTTTTTTGGGGGGGTGGTATTAAAGCTTGATTGATGGACCTCTCAGAACTCAACATCAATCACAGAAATTATATTCACTTCTATGATTAATAATATCTGATCCCATCTCTTCTCACTAAGATCACATCCTGATAATGTTTTCACCGCTTGACCTTATATGCGATTTCCATTGTAAATAGTTTTGGATCCAGGGAGGAAACAAGTTTAAATTGAAAGTACAATTAAATCTGCAAGCATCATGACCCTTGCCAGAAGCATTTGGATTTTGAAAGGAGCTCCTGAGAAAGAGGGTGATGCTTCTGTGGCAGGTCTCAGACGGCAGGTGCCGGGGCGGGGGGGGGGCCCTTTCGTGAAAACGGTTGGAGGAGGGTTGACTGCAGCCTCCTCTCCCGTCTCCTGGTGGTCCAGGTTTTTCCCCTCTTCAGCACGGATGATGGTGCTACCCAGAGGGCGGTGCCCCTCTGACCTGCTTGGCATCCAAGAAGACCCCTGAAGTTCAAAGTCTCGGCCACTGGATCAGCAGCTTTTGCAGTTTTCTTGGGTCTGTGGTGTCGCCGCACCAGTTTCAATCGGCTTCCTCTATAAAGGGGGCAGCAGCTACTCCGGTGACACTGGAGGAGAGCTGAGGGTCGAGAGGAGAAGGCGGGAGGAAGGCCACGCCTGGAGGAGCTGTCTATCATCTCTCTCTGTTCAACCTGCCATCAGCCCTGGCCCCAGCTCACACCCCTTCCCCGAAGCCAAACGAAACCCCAACACCTCCTCCTTAGATGGCCTGAAACACACCCTTGGACAGCTCCTTCATCACAACACTCCTTCTAACGCCTTCCGCCCACATATTGTTGCATTCACGGGGGGCTTAGCACTTGCAGGCAGTGGTTCATTTATCTTCCAAGATAACCCTGTGAAGTAGGTCCTGCTATTGCCCCCATCTTCAGATAAGGAAACTAAGCCACAGAGAGAGCAGTCCCCTCCCCAAAGTTGCTCAGCCACTAAGCCGTAGAGCAGAATTGCAAGCCAGGCCATGTGACCTGGAGACCAGTCATGGCCCCATGACCATGAGACCCCACGGCACACCCCAAGAGGAGGCCCAGTCAGTCCAGTTCTTCCTGTGGTGCTCCAGCACCCCATGCCCACCCCTTCCAGGCCCGCCTGGACGCACCTCTGTGGGCCCCTCCCCCACTGGGCCCTGGTGCTCCCTAAGGATAGCCAGACCTAGGGTTTGAGGTCATTCTGGAGGTGGTGTGATATGGACAGCAGGGCATGTCTGGAGGCAGAGGGACCAAGATGGGGGACAGGAGCGCCAGAGTTGGTATTAAATCCAGGTGAAGCCTTCCCCTCTGTGGGACAGGGGCAGGTCTGGGCCCACTGAGGTGGCCACAAGGCTCTCCTACCTGTTGTTTCAGAAGAACAAATCTAAGGGGGTGACATTCTCTGAAGCACCTAGGAAGGAAGAAAAGAAAGCCCAAAACGTCCAGAAACTGCAGGGACAGAATCACCAGGCGCCACTCTCTGAGCAGGTGATGCAGCCCTGCCTCCCTAGCCCTGCTACCCCTCCATCCTACATGGGGTATGGCCCCCTTTTTTCTTTTAATTTAAGGCTCTAAAATTCATTCCTGCCCTACACTAGCACCCACAATGGATCAGTCCACCCGCCGAGCTCCCATCCCCCACCCCGTGCACCCTGGTGGGAAGACTTGCACCTCTGCGGCAGAGTGCGTTCCTCCCGGGTACCACCTCCCCCTAAAGACCACTCAGGAGTGCCCCTGGAAAGGGGAGGCCTCCAGCAAGGGGCCCCTCATGGCTTCCTTCTGAGCCATGGGGACAGAGGGAGGAGTGAGCAGGAACCAGAGCATCCCTGTGCCATTGTCCCTGTGCCATTGTCCCAGCGCCGAGAGCCGGTCTCTCCTTTGGCCCCCTTGCCTGCTTTTCAACAAACCCTTGAACTCGCTCATTTCGGGGGTGAAGGAGGGGGCGCCAGATCCCATTCCCCAGCATGTAACTTCCCTCCAGGTCCCCTTTCAGGTCTCGGGGCAAAACGCCAAGGATGAGGAGACCTCTGCCCTGTACAGAAGGCTCTACAGAGTGGAAGCAAAGGGAAAACGCCTCAGCATGGCCCTGGGCAACTACCCCAAGGACATGCCTAGGAAATCTGGTAAGGCAAGCGCCTTGGTCGTGGGATGCCAGAGCTGTCCTCAAAACCACCCCCCCTCAGAGGGACGGAACACTCATACCATCCTTAGGGCAGCTGCATCCACGTCAATCCAACCTCCGTGGACACAGGAGTGCCCACGTGACTCTTTAGGGATCACAGCGCAAGCTGGGTGTGCTCTGGACCAGAGGCGAGTGGGTGTCAAGGCTCTGTGGGCACCTGCGTGATCTCTTCTCAGGAGCCCATCCTGCCCCCTGGATTCCTGAAGCCATTTTGGTGACATCAACTTCACGTTAAATTAATTAATACAGATACTGTGACAATATCAGTGTCACTGAAGGTACCACGCCTGCTGGCCTGAAACCTGCCAGGTGCTGCTTGCACCCAAGAAGAGGTGGGTTGGGGTTATGCCAGATACCTATTGCCAAGACTGCTCGGGTTTGAATCCCCGCCCCACCACTCTATATCAAACTCAGCGCTGTATCATCCCTAGCAAGTCACTCCACTTCTGGGGTCTAGTTTTCACATTTCTAAAATGGGACAATAACATTGTGTGACCTGTCTCACAGTATCATGAGTCGAGGCAAGGAATGCACTTAGCCTGATACAAAGTAGCTGCTCAATAAATGTTAGCAAATGGCTGTTTCTAAGTTAACATTTTGCTAACATTCTCAGATGGGCTGTGTTGGAAAAACAGATGCATTTATCATGCCTGGCCTCTTGGGATGGAAGTGCATGGTAAAAAAGAAATCTGAAAGGGATTCCAAATAGCCCAAAGGAAGAGAGGCAAGAGCTTCCGAGCAGGAACTGCCAGTTCTCCTGTACAAACCACTCCGATTGTGCAACCCCCCACCAAAAGTTTTTTTCCCCTTTTCGTTTAATACACCAAAGCCATTGTAACCAAACGGCAGTTACCTGCCTGTCAGAATTAAATATGATCAGCTCTAAATGCAGCACAGGATCCTAGACTGAATCCTGGAATAGCACTTCAGTGGAAAAACTGGTGAAATCCAAACAGCCCTTGTAATGTGCCTGTGTTAATTTCTTGTTTCCTGCTTCTGTAAGACATTAACATCAGGGCAAACAGAGCGTATGTAGACAGGAAGTCTCTGTACCATCTTTGCAACTCTTCTGTAAATCAAAAAGTACTCTGAGATAAAAAGTTCATTTAAAAATAAAATAGAAAGAGATTGATTTATGCCCTACGGAAAGCCCCAAACCTTTCTCCAGGTTTTCTGTAGCTCCCAGCATCCTGGTCTGCTGGGCCCCAGAGCATCCATAGATCTCACTTCCGGTAGCTGTCCCTGTCTCCCTGAGCTCTTCTCGCCCAGACACAGAGCACATTCCCTTCATTTCTCCCTAGACCTCTCTCTTGAAGCTTTTGTGTGTAAGGAGACTTCACTGAAGGTCTAGGGCAACAAGGGGAAATAATTATATCACTTATAGTAGGAGATTGTGCTATACCTCTTTTAGAACTAGAGATAGATCAAATAGACACGACAGGAAGTACCTAGAAGAATCTACCAATGCAATCAACAAACCATACATTTATGCTTGAATAGAGAACACAAACTTTTATATGGCCCAAGAATATTTACAAAAATCATCTGCATATTCACCACGAAGAAAACATTAACATTCTATAACAGGAAAGATTTTAGGGCCACTTACATTATCCTAAAGCAATAATTAGAAATAAAATTAAAATTAAAAGATAATCTCAACTGAAATTAAGAAACACTCCTAAAATACCATTATATCGAAGAAAAAAAAACTAACAGAAATATGCCTGTTTCACACCAAAATCCGTGGGACAAAGGCAAAATCTATGCTCAGAAGAAAACCTACAGCACAAACTAAAAGTAGTGGTTCTTGTCTCCATAAAACAAAAAAAATTGTTTAAATTATCACTTCTATTAATTTAACAAGATAGAAAAATTATTAGCATGCAAAAGAGAGAATTAATATATTAAATACCAGCTAAGATTAATGAAATACAAGGTAAAACATAGTTAAAAGGATAGACACCAAGCCAGCTTTTTGAAAAAGCAAGTGACAGATAAGATACACTTATCATGAGGCATGTCACAAAGAGTCAAAATATGCAAGATTTTATATAAGAAAGGATACGTAAGCAAAGACAAGAGACACATTAAATGAATTATAATAGGATATATATGCACCTCTCCACAATGCATTTGAAAACCTAGCAGAAATGGATAATTTCCTGTCATAGTATAAATTATCAAAATGGACATAATTAAGAGTAGAAAAGTTGAATAGAGCAATTTCTGAGGTAAAAATTGAAAGATGGTGGACACTTCCCCACTAAAAAAGGCACCAGGATAAATGGTTCCACACCAAGTTCTACCTAACATTTAAAAAGCAAATAACCCCAACATGACTTCAACTATGGCAGACCATATTACAATGTAGACATTTCTGTATTAATCTGACAAGCTGTCATAACCTTAGTATTAAAATACTATGCAAAAGAGCAGGCCAATCTCACAATAATATAGATGCAAAATGGTATGAAAAATGTTGGCAACTATACTCAGTGTATGAAAATATAGCAAATATATCCATGTATGAAATGAATAAAGTACCACGACCAAGTGAGATTTATTATAGCAGGTTGCAAATGGTTACGTTATCAAAATCAGGATATCTAATAACGTAATTTATTGCATCAGTAAGTTGAAGGAAAACTGCACGCTAGAAAAGCAATAAGCAGAATCAAACAATTACTACTAATAAAAATCATGTAAACTAAGAGTAAAGCTGCTAAACATTATAAAACATATGCCAAAAGTAGTGGCAAATATTCTAAATGATGAAATGCTAAAGTCACTTAAATTAAAATCAGGAACAAAATGAGGCATGACTGTTATCACCATCACTGACATTGGCAGAATCTGTCAAATGCAACACGTCATGAAGAGAACAAAATTTTTATAAATATTAGAAGCAATGTATTTTCACTTTTCCCCTAATACGGTTGCATTTCTGCAAAACTCAAGGAATTCTAGTCAAAAAATAATAAAATTTGGTATGGTTGCTGGTGTACTGGAAAAAAAATTTAACAGTAGTACTTTCTCTGTACTAGTCATATCAGTTAGAAATAGAAATGGGAAGAAAATATTCCATTGGCATATGTAAAAAACTGTAAAATACTTAGAATTATATTTAACAGGAAGAAAATAATGAAGATCTCCGAGCTCTAGCTCCAACAGTATTTCACTTCATACAATTCCAGTATTTGGGTAACATCAGACACTCACCATTTTGTTTCACATATGTGTGCTTTTGTGCATGTATTCCTCCTGCCCACACATGCTGTTCCTTTTGCCTGCAATACCTTTTTCCCTTTTTCATCTGATAAACTATTTGTCCTTTAAAAACCCAGCTCAAAGTTTACCTTCTCTAATACTTTCCCCTACCCTCTCTAGACAAAAGCTCACTTTAGGAGAATTTTCCCTGGGGGGGGGGTGGAGAGAAGATTGGGAGAAGGAAATGAAGGAAAGAGGGGAAGGGGAGTGAGCTGAGGAGGCAAGGAGACAGGAGGCACAAAAAGTTGACTAGGGATTAAATGAATGCTAAAAAGGAGAACCTGCCAAAACCTTGAAAAGATCTCATATCTCAGTACTGTTTGAAGCCCCTGCAGCCTTTCAGGCCTCCTCCCCTGCCTGTCTCCCATACTGCTCACCTCTACCAGGATCTAACTCCCTGGTGACATCTGTCCAATTTCAGACGTAGACATCAAGGATGTAATCACTCAAGAGTCCACTCAGCGCTCAATGCCCTACCATCGACAAAGCATCACTGAACCCACGTTACAGGATGCCATCTTCCCCCAAAGAAGGGCCACCCTCTTCAGAGACTGGGTGGGCAAGATGTCTGACATCTCTTACGAGCGTAAGCTGAAGAGCCTCATGGAGAAGGGTGTGGAGCCCAAGGTGGAGATGGTGAGGATGCTGAAGCCAGAGGAGGTGCTGAGCTGCCGGTGAGCAGCCTGCGTGGGTGGGTACGGATGCATCCTGCAAGGCTAGGCTTTGCTCACGACTGCCTAGATTCAGACACCTGGGCTGGGTCCGGAGTGTCGGAGGGTGGCCGTAGAGTGTCTGGGCTCTGTTTCTGGGTCCCAAAGGGTTGCTCCAGGGCTGAAGCTGAAACCCGCTGTGTTTCCAAGCAGCCCCTCTCACTAGTGGACCATCTCCTGGATGGATAAGACATTTAGATGCTGCCATTTTGATGCCACACCTTTGGACACATACACAACCCTTCCAAAATCTCTATTTGTTTCACAAAAACAACCACGGGTATTATTCACAAAGGAAAGAATGAGTTGTCTGTGGCCTTGTTTTAACAGAAAACTCCCCTAGGATCCCTTACACTGTGGTGTTGAATTGTGGGTGATAGTAGCCACCATTCCCAGTGACTATCTGCTGTATGTTTGGGATTTTAGACTCCAAAGGGACCATAAACAAAGCATGAAACCATTTGGCATTTACTGTTCTTACCACAGGGTCTCCCTTCTTGCTTGTTCTTTGTCTTACTTATCAAGACCCACTGGTTTCCAGCAACACCGAGAACAGCTTGGTTTCTGCCCCCAAATCCAAGCACCCCTCCTTAGTCCAATGTCATTCTTTACTGTAAGGCTGTACCTGACAAGGTTCGGAAGCTTCAGCAGAGGAGGACAACAGACTAAGGCAGTCATGCTTGCAGAGCTGACAGCAGCAAACTCACCTGTAGGTTTCACATGGCCTCAGATGCCTGGCATCCAACGACCCCATCACACAGTCCTGCTCTGCTGGCTGACTGGCTGGGATGGATGGGTGGAACGACTGACTGGCTGAAAGATAGACAGGCAGCCTCCTTGACTGAAGGAGGCTTTGGCTATGGCTTTCAGATTGATAAAATGGTTTTAATTGACAGCCCACCTAGGCTCCATGGTGGGGAGAAAAGACTTGGACAGGGCCCCTGCCCTCCAAGGAGGAGGAGAGAATATTTGGAGAGATGGCATTTAACAGGCCACTAGAAAGACATCCAAGAAAAGGATGAAATTGTCCTTTGGGATCTCAGTGAGTGCCCACATGCGGATATGCGTGAGACCACCTGGGGCTGGGCTGGTTGGGGAAGGGAGGGGCAGACTGTGTCTGGAACAGTCAGGGGAAGGTGTCCAGGTGTGGGTGGGGACTGAGATGGCTATAAGAACAGGGACACTCTGGGCAGACCTTGAAAGAGAAGGAAGGACCTTCCCAAAGGGTAGAAACCCCAGGTTCTATCAGCTCCTCCCCCACCATCTGCAGCAAAGTACCCACCAGTGGGCAGCCTGAGTAGGGAGCCCTCCTCCTTATAGTAAAGCTGGGATCAAGGTCAAAGTTAATGGTGGGGTAAGGGCTATGACGGCAGAGATACTCTCTAAATCACATCGTATAAATAGGATCAGCCCTATTCTTCAATATAGGTCAGAATGTGGAGCTTTAGTAATATTTCAAATTAATGTTTTAATTTTAATTTTTTAACTAAAACAATTTTGTTTGAGTATTATTTTTCAAAAATACTCACCTGTATTCCTACAATTTTCTCAGCCTTGATTCCCACTGTCCTGTACTTCCCCCGGCCGTTGCCCTCACTCAGATTATACACACATGGCAGTGATGAAAGAAAACACGTAACACTTTGCATCCTGGTTTTTTCCTCCCCACTTGGCATGACGTCACAGCCATATTGCACCTTTTCTTCCTAATGACATTTTCACGCTAGCAGAAGGGTCCTAAAAATGGTTATTCCATTATTTGCTTGACCATTCCTCGGTTGATGGAATTTCCTATTTCCCTATTGCTGATGGCCCTAAATAAACATTTTATTTATATAGCTTTTCTTTCCACTGACTTGTCTTCTTGCAATAAGCTGAGGACCTGAGTGGAGTCACTAAGTCGAAAATAATAAACCTGTTTGTTTTTTTGTGGGGGGGGAACAGGGGGTTTCTTGGCTTATATATTGCTAAATTGATTTCCCAAAAAAGTTATACCAATAAAATCTCCCACCAAATCTATGGGGGTGCTTTGGGGTGTCCCACTCTTTCATGAGATCTCTGTCAGCTCCAGAAATGTCTAGAGAGCCAGTTCCTTGTAGAGAGCCCACACTGGTGCTGCTTAATCTAATCTCTTTTCAGTAGAGTTTGGAGCCACAGTGACTCCACCCTCAACTGACCTCTTTGGCCTTGTCTCGCACAGATACCTGAGATTATCCAAGAACAACATTCGGACCTTGCTCAAGCTGTGCAAGGATGCAGGAATGAACGTGGACATCCATCCCCACATGGTCGAAGGAGAAATAGACGCTAAAAAGGTGTTCAACCAAAACACCAGCGTAGCCCTCTAAATAGCTCCTCTCCCTGGCCACCTTGAGCTGCCTCTGCCGCTGGACCCTCGGCCACCACATGCCACCCTCTGGCACACCACACCTGGCCCTTCAGACCTGGTGCATCCCCTTTAGATGGTAGCAATCAGGAAACAAGGCTAGATTGCTTGGAACATCGTGCTCATGTAGTGTTTGTCTTCATCATCCACGTCAGAACCAACTCTGGGAAAACTGTGGGTTTCTCCCTGCCCTGCAAAGAGTACTCATTAGGAAAGGCTTCTTAGAAAGGAAATCTTAGAAGAAGTGACCAATGGGAGCCCAGAGTCCCCAGAGGGACTTCAGGGGGCTGTTGGGGACACACCCACCACAGGTCTTGCCTACTATCCCCACGTCCACCCGTGGGGGACACAGCTCTGTGGGGAGCTGGCTGTCTTGTGTGGGGGGTGGGTATCTGATCTGGAGAGCAAGAGGGGGAGAATTCTATCAGTTCAGGGAAACAGGATTACTCAAAGAAGCCACAAAGGGCTAAGAACTTGCTCAGAGTCCCACAGGCGAGAAGCTGCAGGGCTGGGATGAGAAGAGCGTCCTCACCTTAGTCTCTCATTCTGCCTTCTTGTGTGATGGAGACACCGGCAAACTCCACAGGACAGTTCAGAGACGCTGCTTTTCTGTCATGGAGCAACTGCCCACTGAGGTTACAATTCTAGTCTCTGTAAGCATTTCAAGTAAGTTCAAATCCCAACTGCCCCACTTACTAGCTGTGTGACTTTCAGCAAGTTACTTCCCTTCTCTGTGCCTTTGCTTCCTCACCTGGAAAATGGGGCTTGTGATAGACCCGCTGAGTGGAGATGCTGAGAAGAGGAAACAAGAGCTTGCATGGGAAGCATGAAGTACAGGCACTGACACACAAGAGCTCAATAAACATGTGAGCTGTTCCCATAGTCCTTGGGGTGGATGTGGAGCAGGCTTCCCAGCCCCGACTTCCCCAGAAGGGGTCCTCAAAACTGGGCCCTTCCATGTGAGTCAAACCCTGTTGAAAACCTATGCCCCTCATGGCAAACCCAAAAACTGATGGTCCCTGAGCCTGCAGGGGCTAGTGCACACCCCTAGGGGGCCACTAGTCAGGTTTTACTTTCCGCCTCCATATACAAAAAGGGCGAGGATTCTACTGCCCCGCCCCCACCCCAGATGTTTTCTAAATCTTCATGCCCCACCTCGAGGCTCCAAAGTGACCCCCTGGAAGTGAGTGGGTCTCTCCATGTAAGTCATTAGGCTTTGGAGTCAGAGTAAAGTTTTGGCGGCTTCCACCGCCTCGCCCACCTCCACCAACATACACCCACTCAAGTCACCACTAAGGAAAAGCAGAGCCCCTTGGAGTTGGAGACAGGTCTAGAGCACAGCACGCCTGCAATGGATTTGTAAGCTATGCCACAAAGGTTTGTTTTGTTTTTTCCCTTGGGCTTGGTATTCATTCACTTAGCAAATATTTCTTGAGGACTTACTATATGCCAGGAACTGTTATAATTTCTGGGGATGAAGCAGGAAACAGAAAAAGACACAAGTCCTGCTCTCCTGCAGCTTATGTCCTAGTTGAGGAGTGACTATGCCCCTCAACACAAGTACTTTCAGCAACTAATGAGAACATAGAATCAGGTGCAATGAAAGTAAAGGACTGAGCGAGGGTCAGGGAGGAGTGAGAGCTTTAGCTAGAGTGGGCAGTGCAGGCCTCTCTGAGGAAATATTTGAGTTAATACATGGCTGAGGAGTATGTGGATCCAGGAGGGCCTGCTCCAGCAGAGGGAACAGCGAGAGCAAAGGCGTGGGCATGGGACAGAGAGCACAGTCACTGTGGCTGAAGTAGAGCTGGGAAGGAGAGGTGGGGAATCAGGCCCTGAAGATTATGGTCCAGAGTTTGGAGTTCATTCAATTACAACAAGAAACCATCGGGGGCTGACAATGGAAGAGACATCACTCTGGCTTCTGAGAAGAGAAAATGGTGTGAGAGGGACAGGACAGCATGGTGGCTAGTAAAGGAGATGTGTCAGTTAGCTATGGCTGTGTAACAAATTTTCCCAAAACGTAGTTTAAGGAATGTAATTCCTCATGAGTCCACAGGTCAATCAAACCATTCTGATCCAGGCCAGGCTTGGCCAGTCTAGGCTGGGCTTGTGTGTTGGTAGGTTAGCAAGTAAGCTCACTGAGGGTTGGCTGGTCTACAGTAGCTTTGACTCAGATGTCTAGTCTCTGCTACGTGTGTATCATCCTCCAACAGGGCTTCTGCTTATGGTGGTGGCAGCATTCCAAGAAGTGCACTCAGAACTGGTACACTGTCACCTCATTGCAGTCTCTTGCAGCCAGAGCAATTCCCAAGGTCAGCTCAGAGTCAAGGGTGGAGAAGCAGCAAAGTCATATTGCCAAGGGTCTGGATGCAGAGGGAAGTACAGGATTATGCACACTTTTGCAATCAACCTACCACAAGCGGCTACCATGTACTTCAAGCAAGAGAAGTTGGAGGCTTAAAGTACAGTGATCATGGTGGAAGCAAAGAATTGAGAATATGTGTTGGAGGCAGAGCTGACAAAATTTGGCACTGGATTGGATGCAGGCATGAAGGAGAGGAGTCAAGGATGACCCTTGAGTCACCCTTTGTCCAGGGTGACTGTCGGGTGTGCCTAAAATGAGATGGGCAGGAGGCAGGGATCCAGCTGAGGCTGGTTAGGTGGGAGACACCACCAGCATCCATGATGCTGTTCCCGTGGTCGTGAGGGGCCACTGGCAGGCGTTCAGTAGGAGAGTGATGTGGTGAAGGACAGATTGGACGGCAGCCCACGTACCCAGGCTGAGAACAGCAGATGTTTGTTTTCTCACAGTTTGGGAGGCCAGAAGTCAAAATCAAGGTGTCGGCAGGATCATGTTCCTTCTGAAGCCTCGAGAGAAGGAATCTTCCTCTCCAATTCCAGCTTCTGGGCTTGTGACATCACTCCAACCTCTGCCTTCGTCTTCACACATCTGTCTTCTCTGTGTGTCTCTGTTTTTCCTGTAAGAACACCAGTCAGATTAAATTAGGGGCATGCTATGACCTCATCTTAGCCTGATCATATCTGCAAAGACCCTATTTTCAAATAAGGTCACATTCCGGGGTACTGGGGCTTAGAACTTCAACATATCCTTTTGGGGACACGGTGTAAACCACAACTCAGAGAAACCAAAAGTAAGGGGTTGGGGGCCCAGAGAGGGGCAGAGGGTTCCCCAGGATCCCCTTGAGCTCATGACAGAGCTGGAGCTGGAGTGCTCACTCTCAACACCCTCCTGAGCTGGCCCTCCCGGACACACTGCCCATCTCTGCCCAGTACAAGTGCCAGAGTTTGGGCCCCAGGTTGCTGTCCCCGGGATCAGAGCCATCACACTGCTGGGACGCTCAAAGAGCCAGGTCCTCTAGGAGATTGTCCCCATGCCCACCAGGCCCTGGTTCCTGGACTTGCTTATATACCTGCAACCCTTTTGCACAAAGTGAGGTAATTTTAGCAGGCGGTCAGCCCTAGCCCCTGCTGAGCTGAATGCCGCCTCCTCAAGGGACCACTTGATGCTCCCAGACCCTTGAGTGGGAAATCATTGTGGCAACCCCACCTCTCAGACCCCAGATCTCCTATAGAGCTGATGCAGGCTTCCCTGGTGTCCAGCATGGATGGGAAAAGGGAGGGAAAATGAATGCAGGAAAGAGACTTTGCTCGACCCCAGCTGCTTGGGGCCACATGGGTGCTCTCTGGGGGTCCAGGGACCTCATAGGAACAAGGAGCCCTTGATTTAGCTTCCTGATATTCTGGTCAAATGAGCTGACACTGAGCCCCAAGATTCACAGATAACGAAAAGCAAGGAATGTTTGTTAGCAACCTCAAAGCAGGTCCACCGGCAGACGGCACCACCTGCAGCACACTGCACTCAAGTAGTTTTTAAACTCTTAAAGGACCTCTGAATGGTCCCCTTATATTGCACTTTTCTCAAAGAGTTATCACCAGACACAGAAACAGAGGTACGTACCAGGAGCAGATTCACACAGGTACAATCCCCTGGTTTATGACAAAGGTGACACTGCGGGGCCGAGGGGGGAAGGATGATCTTTTCAATAAATCAGGCTGGTCAATTAAATATCCATCTGGAAAAAAATATTGACCCTCTGCCTCCCACCATATGTAGAAATCAGTTCCAGATGGATGCAGATTGCGAAAGCTTTTAGAAGAAACACAGAAGACAAATCTCCATGACCTTGGCATAGGCAAAACAAAAATTTTAATGGAACACAAAAATCCCCCAAAATCAGAGACAATATTATTAAATTGTATTATAGTGAAAGCAGAACTTCTGCTCATGAAAAGGCATCAATAAGAGAGTGAAATGGCAAGAGAACCAAATGGGAGAAGATGTTTCTGAGAAAGTGCTCACACCTGGATGACATTTTTTTTAACTCCTATAAATCAATAAAAGGCAACTCAACAGAAAAATGGCCAGAAGTCTTGTATAGATACTTTACAGAGGAGGTTAGCCAAGGGGCCAGTAAACGTGAGAAATTTCATTAGTCAACGGGAAGACAAATTAAAAATACCAGGCAGTACCGCTAACAGCCACCAGAATGGCTAAAAGGAGCACCAGTACCCGTGGTTGGTGGGGATGTGGAGCAACCAGCACGGGACACATGCTCACCACACCATGGAGATGGTAAGTTGGTACAACCGCTTTGGAAAATTGGCAGTGTCTACAAGAGTCGAAATATACACCTTCCCCACGGTCCAATGTTTTCGTTCCTAGACACCCACTGAACAGCATTGTATGCATATGTGCACCAAACATTCAAAGCAGCTTTACTCAATATAGTCAAATTCTGGAATCAGCCCAAATATCCATCAAGAGCAGAAAGGATAACTTGCAGTGTATTCATATAACGGAGTACTGCCTAAAAAGAGAACGAACAAATATGGATGAATGAACCACACAAACAATATGGCTCACAAGAAGCAAGATGGAAAAGGAAACCGCTGTATATTTCCACGTACACAACAGTCAGCAATGTTAGGAGTCAGCACAGCGGCAGCCCCTGGAGGAGGGTGTGGCGGGAGGGGCGCGGAGGGGGCCCCT